GGTGTCACCCCCCCCCCCCCCCTGTATTTCTCTAGGGTGTTTGGGTGTAACCTCACTTCCAGTTGTGGCTGTGCCCTTACCACCTTCAGTGTGGGAGTTGTAATGTCATGGTCCAGTTACCTTAATTTATTGTTAATATTTTTTACAGTATTGTAGAAATATGATCAACTCCCTGTAATATCTGTTAATTATTATTATTTTGATTAGTGGTTTGATTTTTAGCTGGAAAGCTACAATGTACATATTATATACAGTACCATATTTTCAAAAGATTATGTATAAATCCTTGTGCAGTGCAATGCAATCAAATAACAATTTCCCTTTCATTTGATGAGGCCTGTGCAACAGGTTTTTATTGATCTTTTAAATGGCTTGCACCTGCTTTGGCTAGTTTATCATGAAATCAAGCAGGCCTCTGAGTTCAACACATTAATGACCTATCCAAAGCTTGTACCATTTAATTTATTTGCTGTACTCCATTCCAGACATAATCTGTGTTTGGACATCTGAACTGATGTTTCCTTAAGTTAGCTAGCTCTGTAGTTACTATTTACTGGTTAGAAGCTTTTCAGCTTTAATTTGTAAGTGATTCCCAATCAGGGGAGTGTGTACCCTATTAGTACTTGAGTGGGTTTCATTAGTTTTTGCAAATATTTTGAGTCTTTGCTCCCTGTAGTCATTCCTTATCATTAAAATCTATACACATGACTGCATGTTCACTTGTAGGTGGGTGACATTTCATATTTGCTGAGCTCTCTGGTGTTCACATTTTAACATGCAAAGAGTGCAAATTACTTGACTTTTATATCTGTATTTCATTTAATACATTTGCCATTTGGTCCCTCTCAGAGATTCTCTGATTGCCCCCTAAACTGCAAAAAATATGGCCTGACAAACAAGCTCAAGTGTCAGTTTAAAAAGAGAGTGGGTCACTGTAAAAATTGCCACTTTAATAATATTCATATGACAAAATTAATAAAAAAGGAGGACATATCTGCTTTGTTGTTGATGAAAGGGTACTTGACACATTTAAACTGATGAGGTTGTTGGGGTCAGAATTAGGGTTTTGTGATTAATCGAAATCGAATCGAAATCGCTAATCGCAAAGCATGCGATGTGGATGCGATATTACTCCATTCCAGAGCATATGCATGACTGCCTGCCTTGAGTTGCAGTCTTACTTGCCCTGGGCAAGAGTGAACGCACCTCCGTTCTCCCCAATCAGCACTGCTCTAGCCAACTGCGTAAACGCCCACCATTAATAAAAAAAAAAAATAAAAAAATAAAAAAAGGGAGGGAGACAGAGTGGGATTATGGCGTCTACTGGGTCAGATCGATAGTTAGGCAAATTAAAACTAAAGAAAAGCATATGCAACTTAAGCTTCGAAATGACAGACAACGAACAAAAAAGGTAATTTGCAAGAGCTGCGTCACAGCGCATATCAAGAGCTCCCTTATCGGTTCTGTTTTCAGTACTGGAGAATAAAAGATACATTCTTAATAGATGTTTTTGTTAGTATGTGAACGTTATTTTACACATTTTATCTTCCCAACAGATTAATTTGAAATAAGTTTATAATGCATGTTGGCTATTCCCAATTCAGAAGAGCGTACACACAGCCTGTGTCTGTGAATGCTTCTCATACTCGCTCCTCTCTGCCCCACGCGGCGCAAATCCCGCATCACGGATATATATATTATACTCGCACCCGGCTCCACACTGCAAGCCTTCACGAGCGCATCTGGCAGTATGGATGAGGCTTGATGCACGCGCGCAAGCAACCTGTGTCGACTCACGCCGGGCTCCGCATTTAAAACGAATGTAAATTCAGTCTAACTGCTTGCTAATTTCACTTTATTTTTGGAGTCAGAGATAAAAAAAAAAAAATCAGGATTCAAAAGAGCTAAAAAGAGAACTTTTGTAACATCTTAAAAAAAACAAAAACAAAAAAACTTACTGACCTCAAACTTTTGAACAGTAGCGAATTGGTATATTTCAATATATATTTGTCAGTAGCACTATATATTTCTTATTCATGTGTAAAACTTGCACCTTACTGTTTTAGAGCTGTGCTTTTTTCCCTGGAAAATTTCCTCTCTGCTAGTCATTGCACTCTGAGGTGAATAAGGGTACTTTTTTGATGAGAAACACACATCAACCTAACCAAGTTTATGAATGTCAACAGTTTCCCTTAGATTTGTTTCTCTTTTGCTGGGCCTTGTGATCTGACTGAAAAAAAATCAACCCTTGGAAAAAGGTCAAGTTCTGCTTTTCTGAACAGGGCGTTTCATACCAGCGTCATTATGTTCTGTGCACTTCCTCATAGGCAAGAGGTGCTGATTTGCTATGTGCCCCAACACTATAGTAGTTTTTGTTCAGCAAAATGTTCATTTTTGGGTGACATTTAGTTTGTGACAGCACAATTTTTCTTATAGAAACTCTTTTTATTCTGGCATAAAGCTCTGATATTCTTAATGTTACTGTCATCATTCACTTTATAATTCATTATTCTTATGTAATCTGGATTGCAGAGGGCCATGAACTGGTCATACCAGTGGGGAATGTGGAGCCAGATGTTAGTTCAGTAATTTGTCTCTTGGTTTTGACTTTGTGCTCCTAAACGCTCCCACATGGGATGTTTCTCTTGCCCTGCAAACCCCTTGAGAGCCCAATGGAGTCTGTGTCTCTGGGTATGTGATTAAAAGGGTTTGAGATAAACAGGGGTCTGCTTAAGTCCATCTTTTATGAGATGTGTGATGGGGTAGAATATTTTGTTCATCAGCTACATTGAGGATTATTTTCTCTCCCTGTAAATGAAATGGAGAGGTACTTGAGATGGTTTATTTCACTTGCTCTGGAGAATGTTTTCTCAGTGCTGTTGAAATCAATTCCACCTTTCCCACAGCATGCTGGAAATTATTTGATATGGGGCAAAATAGGGCAAGATAAAAAATGTTCACATTTTTTAAACCATTCGGTCTGCTTTTCAGAGAATATCATGGCTACTTTTGCTTGTTTATTCATATGAAAATACTATCAAGCAGCTATGTGTAAAGAGATTGTCCATTGGCATTAAGCTTCCAATCTCCATGCCCGGTTTGGATAACAACATGGCTGTAAGATCCCAGTTCATCACCACTGCCTTTATATATCTGAATGAAGCCTCTGTGTCCCAGCTCGATGGTTAGTATTCAGCAGAGGTGCTTACCTTGAGTGTGAGGGAGAAACAAGCTCCTCAGACAGCAGGTCATTTGCTTTCTTGCACAGATAGTGCACATTTTTGTAGTTTATTCATAACTGATCAAATCTGGCATTTCGTATAAGCAATCTTGTTTGAGAAATTTCTTTACGTCTGTACCTCTGAAAATAAACATTATGTTAAACATGATGAATGCTTGAAGGAAAGTATAACTATCCACACAAGCATTTGGAGCCACTGTAGTTCCTAAAAAGCTCTTTCATGCCAAGAAATATGGCAGTGTTTTTCTATAATTTTGTTTGTAGAACAGGCAATAATGTTGTAGACGAGGCAATCAAAGAAATCCTAAGTCCAGGTATTGATGGAAGCCGAGACTCATAAAAATATTCTCTTTTCTGGCTTGCTTTATCCATTACTGATTTAAAGAGATCAGGTTTTTCCATAAATATGTTGAAATGTGCTCATTTGGGAGATGTAGGTTCTTTGATTCTGAAACAAAAATAAGAAAGGCAAGAATGGTAGCTGTCAATGCAATGTGTCAGTACAGCATACACATCATACTGTAATTAGGCATTGAGGAAGTTCAATTAAATTGTATTCAGTGTTTTATTCATCCTTATAGTGTGCAGTCTTTTTATATTTGTAATTGGCATAGATCTGGGTTGGGCAGTCATGTTTAGAGGAAAGTGAGTGGTGCAATGGTGTAATGAAATTAAAACTTTTTTTCTAAAACACACTGCCCATATGTGTCCATATAACAACCTGGGATCACTGGAAAAGCTGTGGCGATATTTCTTCAAAATGATCACTTTGTGCATGTTTCACAACACTTTCAATGTGAAATGTCCAGTGAGTGGTGCTAAACGCGCATTCAGCTTAATCTGAAAAAGATGAACATGAATCTGGCAGCTTATTATGTTGTTTTTTCTATGTATCGCAGCAAGTCTGAAATGAAATGTCCAGTGAGTGGTGTTAAAAGGTTAATGCCCTATTGCATTTGAAAATAATTGATCATCCACACTAAATTCTATCCTAAAACTGAGTTTTAAAATACAAGCAGAGATTAAATAAAAACGCATTTACTCATAGGTGTTGCTTAATTTTTTTTAAATTATATATGTCAGGACCAGGGCATGAATCACATTTTCCTTGAGTTGGTCTACTAGCATAATCACCCTTCTGTGAGGGCATGTGCTTTACATTAAGTTTGGAAAATAGGCCTATGATGCAGTTCCATGAATATTTCAGAGGAATTGCTCATATAAGTTGCTAGTGTATTATCATTTTACATTTCAAACCTCTTATTGGCAGTTTGCACTTACTGAAATGTATCATTACCTTTGGAGTTGCAGTTTTATTTTGAGGTATGTTTCTACTCACACTCACCAGAAAGATCTGAAGAGAGCGCTTTCTGCTTCTCACGTGTATAGAATAAATAAAACGCATTGTTTGTTTACCCATTCTTCACCAGTGCATTCCTGCAGAATCAATGCTTATAACCTGCCTCTTCTGGCTCATGTTATTTATTTGTACTGTATTTGTTATCCCCGCTGTACATTCCTTTTGCAGTGCTCTAGGCTTAGGACTCTGTTGCAGATGAGCTTATCTCTGCTGTCTGTTCCTAGCTGGCACTGGTCTCAAGGGTATGAGAGCGTATAGGGAAAGTGTGCAGGGAAGCAAGTGTACGATGTGAAAGGGGAGAGAGGGGATATTTGGAGCCCTATCTGGCTTTGGCCTAGTTTTTTCCACTGTTTTTCCCATCAATCTGGCAGGAAGTTCCAAACAAGCCAAGCTTAGCGAAAAAAAATAAATCATCTGGTTTCCTGTAGGTCAGATATTTCCTCTCGCACGGCATGTCAGAGGATCTGTATGGATTCTTGTGTGTGTGTTTGTAGAATCCATTTCAGATTGACAACTTCATCTTAAACTCATTTATAGCTGTTGAAATATTTATTCTGCAATATTTCTTCGTCAACCAAGTCGAAGTTTGCCTTTAGGACTACAATACATTTTGAATATGTTTATGAGATGACTGAGCATGATTATTTCATTAGAATAAAATGTGTTAGTTAAGGCTATTGTTTAAAAAATAAGAGATAATTACCATGTTAAGCATTGTACACTACCTTTCAAAATATTGGGGTGAGTACGTTTGTTGTTGTTTTTAATTTACTAATAAATAACTAATTTTACATTGAACTTTTACATTGTTACAAAAATGTATTTCAAATATGCTGTTCTTTTGAACTTTATTCATGAAATGTATCACATTTTCCTCAATACTATTAAGCAGCGCAGCTTTTTATTATTATTATGTTTCTTGACCACCAAATCACCATATTAGAATGATTTCTGAAAGATCATGTGACAGTGAAGACTGGCTGCTGAAAATTCAGCTTAATCACAGGATTCAATTAAACTTTAAAATGTAATAACATAGAAACTGTTATTTTAAATTGTGATTATATTTCAATATTATTGTTTTGCTGTGTTTTTGATCATGAATATTACAGTCCTAATAATTACATAAACCTCAGGGTCTGCCTCAGTTTTGTAAATGCCAACTTGCAAACACATTAATTTCAATCTTATTTAAGCTCATATGGGTTTAATATTTAATGCAACAAAGCTGTGTTTTATCGGTAAGTGTGTCACCTGGTAAATTAACCAAAGATCTTGGCGTTACAGGAACCACCATCAAAGTGGCAAACACAATTAAGTAGAACAATCACTTCCTTTTACAAAAGATTATACAACCTAAAAAAAGGAACTACACTGAAGGAAAAAAATGTCTGAGATAAAATCATTAGTATTTCTGTATGCAGTCAAGTGTGAACTACTAGTGCACTAGGTATTACACACTACTTTTTGTTTTATTATTATTTTTGTGCAACTCACAATAGTCTAATGATGGTGATAATTTAGCTTGTACATTCAGTTTTGCTGGTTATCCTCCAAATGCTTTATCAGTGGATGAAGTGTGTCATATGAACTAATGTTGGCCCTGACCCAATCACTGTCTCCTGCTCTGCTTTGCTCTGGCCTCTTCTTTATCCTTGCCTGAGCTGCTGACGTGTGCCATGATTGTCTCCAGCAGGCCTGCAATCAGAGAAGGTGAGGCCGAATAGGTCAGACTCGGCTTGCCCCTCCACTCAAGCAGAGGGCATCACCCTCTCTTGTGCAAGAAATCAGTGTCCCTCTTCTAACCTGGCATCCATTTAAACAGCTAAAAATTAGAGAATCTGTGCTGCATGCGAATAGAATCATTGTTGATCTCTGCGCTTCTCCCTCAGCTGTAGAGAGGCTGACCAGCGACACTGCTGAACGCTCATCGCTTTTAGTGGCACGGCAGCTCCACAGGCCCTGCTCACAGGGGTTTGGTGATGAACAAGTGTACCGAGGGAATCCTAATGAATTCCACCAGTCGGGGAGGAGGAGGGCTGTCATTTAATATTTCAGAAGCTGGTTGCCATCTGGCCGTATTTAACAAGCATGCATATGTAGGTCATATCTGCCATCATTTTACTATGTCCAACCTCTGTTTAACCGGCATTTTCTGTAACGGCGATGACATTGTGCATGTATTCCACTGTGTTGCACTGCCTTGTCATTTGGATTTTACCAGTTACATTTTTTACCACTCCAAACGCTATTGTTTTTTTTTTGTTTTGTTTTTTGAAGAAAGAAATGAATACTTCAGCAAGGATGTACTCATCTTTTAATTTATTTCAAAATATTTATATTTCAAACAAATACTATTCCTTTGAACTTCCTGAAAAAAATGTATTTCCACAAAAATATTAATTAACAGAACTGTTTTCAATATTGATAATGATAATAAAGTTACATGAGCAGCAAATCAGCATATTAGAATGATTTCTGAAGGATCATGTGACTCCGAAAACTGCTGAAAAGGAATAAATTGCATTTTATATATTCAAATTTAATACATATATTTTTTTTTTAAATTTTAATAATATTTCACAATATTACGATTTTTACTGTATTTGTGATCAAATAAGAAAAAAATCATGCTATTATCATACCCTGGCTTGTTTCATACTGTCTTCCGCAGCATGACTGTATAATTAAGGGACACCAAGCATCTTAAATTGACATCTTTAAATAAAGCTCTGTTAGCAGATTCTTGCGTCTTCCTGCACAAGTGCCCCAGTTTCCTATTGAGGCATTTTTGGGGGGTCCACCAGGAACAATAGCTGGAAGCAGTGGGTCATGTTCTCTTTTCCTCTGCTCAAGAGTGCTAGTATGAACGTTCTTCAGTGGCCTTCTCATTATTCCTATATGGATGGTCTTATGAATCCATAACAAGATGCAGAATTAGCCCAGCTGATTGGATTTCAGACCTAATTAAGTATTATCCTCATTAATCAGCTATGGTTTTCCAAAGAAAATGCACTACATAAAAATGGTACTCGAATTACACATCTCAATTAATAATTTGGAAGTATCACTAATTAGTACACATTATGCATCATATACAATCATATTTATTTGAAACATGTCAATTCAGCATAATTAGCAAGCTTCACTAGTACACATTTTGCATCATTATAAAATGGTGTTTAAGTGCGATGTTCACAAGCAAGCTGTCGATGTGATGATTACTTTTTTGTGGTATGTAGTTCTTCAAATAATTCATCATTAGTGATTTTGTGTGTGTGTGTGTGTGTGTGTGTGTGCTAGGCTAAAGAAATTTTGAAGGGGGAAAGGACCAGTTCTGCTTATAAAAATAATTCCAGGGCTTTCCACCAACAAGATTTTACTTTCATAGATGAGCATTTTCCCAGAACAGAAAGCAAATAATGCTAATAAAAACAAGCTACCCATACAAATTAGAGATCGACCGATATATTGATTTACCGATATTTTCCCGATATTTAAGCATTTTACATATTTACATATCGGTTTTGTAATATCGGATTCACAGATAAACGTTCTTAAATCTCTTAATCTTGTGGATGTTTTAAGAATTGCGTGCAGGATCACCATTGCAGCGCATCTGAGGGGAAACAAGACAACAACAACGGCGTGCACGGGGTACTTGATTTACTGTAGTAAGTAAACTTTATTTAACGTAACAGCCATTAATGCACAAATTAGATGTATTTCATAAATGCCTGATATGCAGCTTATGCAGCTTGGCTCGAAGAAAAAGAAACAAACTCACGGAGTCACGTAAAATAATCCGTCAAGTCCTGTCCCAATAAAGACGTAACTTTGCATGAATTAAATAATATGCAGCCATGAATGGGTGCATGTTGGAAAAAAAAGTGCTGAATTTAATTCGCTCTCTGTTGTCTATATGCTCATCGTCTTATGAAGTCGGAGTCATGTAGGCTAAAATAATCAGTCAAGTCCTCTCCCAATAAAGATGTAACTTTGCATTAATTAAATAAAGGCTCCATGAATGAGCGCATGTTGGAAATAAAAACAAATATTACAGTTTTCCATGAAGCCGCTTTCATATTGCTGTTCACTCACCAGGTTGATGCTCAGGAAATGCTCCAGCACGGCCACAGCATGTAACTTTTAACAAGATTCACTTGTTTAAAACACCCTAAATTGTATTAACATTTTCTATAACACCATTATTTCGCTAATAAAGATCTAAATAGTCTCTATGGAAATTAATTATTTATTATCTCCGAGCGATCGCAGTTTGAATATAGTTCTGTGTAAATGCATAGATAAACTGCGCTGTCAGCAGGCATTTCATAATCTAGAACGACAAAACCATTATTAGTAATTCTGATATAACATGCCAGTTGAGAAATGCAATAAAATACGATGTTTTGTTTGTTATATTTCAATATTCCAGAGAATATTATGCAGTGAATTTACATTATCCAGTGAATTATTCTTCACTCTTTAGCCTATTAAACATCTTATAAACCTACTAAAACTGTAGTTTAAAATGAAGTTGATATGACTCCTTTAATTTATTTTCTCCATTTAAAAACATTAGACCTTCTACCTTTATTTTGCTTATTGTTAATATTAGTGTTGCTGCTGATGCTTTAAATAAAAGTTTTTTTGTTGTAATGTAAAGATTAAATTTAACATGAAAGACTGCTAATTTTCAACACTTTTTTAAAGCTGACTGAAAGTAGGAAAAACCAAAGTGAAGTAATTTATTTACTTTATAACAGTAAATAAATATCGGGTCTGCATATCGGTTATCGGGCACATAAACATGCAAATAATTGGTATCGGTTATAAAATATCAATATCGGTCGATCACTAATACAAATGTACAGTTCCATGTGATACTGATGCAATACAGTATATCATTATATATTACATGATACATTGTACTCCAATGTACTTCCCAAGTACAAGTATTGTATTTAAAGAATCATTGGAAATTGTTTCTGTCTTCCTTTTTAGGTTATTGTAGTATGGATCACCCTCGTAAATGGCAAAAAAAAGAAGTTTTTTTTTTTTGGTAAATGTAACTAATCAAAATTAGTTTCCTCTTATTAGTCAAGTCACCTCTATTTATATAGCACTTTATAAAATCCAGATTGTGTCAAAGCAGCTTTACAGTGTTAAACAGGAAAACGTGTGTTGATAATGCAAGAGGACAATAACAAACAGTCAGTTTATCAGTTAAAGTCAGTTCATTGTTGATTCAGTGATCATTAGTGCTGAGCAATAAACCATTTTTTATAGAACAGGTTCTTTGTGGTAATACCAATAACTTTTTTCATAATTTTCATCTATTTATAGTGACTTGGGGTGAATTTATTAAGAAACATGCCATATCGATTAACATTACAATTGACTGTCTTTGTTAAAATGTATAGTGTTCATTCATAAATGCCTTGGATAAAATAAAAAAAGGTAAATATTTGGATACAGCATGATACAATTTATTTTACTGTATGATTTAAGAACCATGATGCAAATGAAAGTTCAGCTGCACACCTGTGCTTGTGTTGATGGTTCAGCCTCTCCATAATAGTTTTGTTTCTCCACAGGTGGTGCCAGCTTGTCTGTGGGCGTCTTGTGGTGTACCAGAGGAAGGCAATTAGATATGGCAGCCAATAAGAGTAAGGGTCAGAGCTCCCTCACCCTGCACAAGGTCATTATGGTGGGCAGTGGAGGCGTAGGAAAGTCTGCTCTTACCCTTCAGTTTATGTATGATGAGGTAAGTCAACAGACCAAAATCTGGCAGATACAGGAAGTTTTTTTTTTAGGTGGAACACCATAAGTCTAAAAAAAATAAATAAATAAAATAAAAAGTGTATTGCTAGACTTCAAGATGCATTGCCTTGGTTTATTTAACAGTGATTGCTATTTTCTGTCCCTCAGTTTGTTGAAGATTATGAGCCCACAAAGGCTGACAGCTACAGGAAGAAAGTGGTGTTGGATGGAGAAGAGGTGCAGATTGACATTTTAGACACAGCTGGGCAAGAAGACTACGCGGCCATCCGAGACAATTATTTCCGTAGCGGAGAGGGTTTCCTGTTGGTGTTCTCCATAACAGAGCACGAGTCCTTCACGGCCACAGCAGAATTCAGGTCAGTGGTATTGCACCATTCTAGCTACTTGAATCATAAGCTAGTACAATAAGAAAATGGAATCTCCCATTGTGACCTAGTATAGTCAGAAAATTGGATCACTCAGCATTAAATGTATCCGTGTGTTTACAGGGAGCAGATCCTGCGGGTTAAAGCTGAGGAGGATAAGATTCCACTACTTTTGGTAGGAAATAAATCGGACCTTGAGGATCGGAGGCAGGTTTCAGTGGACGAGGCCAGGGGAAAAGCAGAAGAGTGTGGTGTGCAGTATGTAGAGACTTCTGCCAAGACACGAGCCAATGTGGACAAGGTAATTTTTGTGCCTGCCTGTGTTTATTTTAATTTAGAATCTAGATAGATAGTCTGTCTGTCTAAGGCTCAATTCTTATGGTGTATAAAGTAGTTTTTTTTGTATTTTTTTCATTATATCTTTTTAAAATGACTTCAGTATTATCATCATACCACAAATTGTTCCATTGCCGCACATAACCGTACTTGCTTTTATAAAATGCATCTCGTCTGTATTGTGGAATGATGGATGCCTTGACGACTGCATGATGATGAGCAGAATCCAGTTTTGGAATATTTTCTGTGTAATGCAGTTTCTGATGGAAGTTTTTGGTCAATATGTATTTCTAGTGCCACAGTAGAGCAGCTGTTCAGCAAGCTTAGAGCAAAATGTGCATATAAGTTTTTTAATTTTCCTTTAATTTTACATGTCTACATGGTTGACTTTGTTTTTATATCACAGTATAGTTGCGGGTTCCTGTTTTGTTCAGTTGCTCTCTCGTTTTTTGTTAACAAATATTTTTTGCTGCTGGTATTCATTTGTTAACAACAATAAATGTTTTGATCTGTTAAGAGAGATTTGAGCTGGGAAGGGAAATAACAAAACTAATAGAATAGTTTGTTTATCTTTAATTCTTCTTCGTTATATATACAGTATATATACACTGCTCATTTAGGTTTTTATTCACTACTTTTAATAACCTTGTCATACTGAGCAATAATGAACCCTTTGTTTTTCCAAAGGTATTTTTTGATCTAATGAGGGAAGTCCGTGCTAAAAAGATGTCAGAAAATAAGGACAAAAACGGGAAGGGAAAAAATAAGAAGAATAAGAAGAGCTTCAAAGAGCGATGCTGTTTACTTTGAACTACACTTGGACTTTTCCCCACCAAATCTACTTGCAACTCTATGGGGAAACTCCATCAGAGCCCCTTTTCTTTATTAAAATCATAACTTGATTAGTAAGGTTTTGTACTGGTCAAGGTAAGCCTTTATCACAATCTTTCATTCCCATAGTTCATTTCAAATAACTAGACTAAGATTGAATGGTATGCATACTTTTTAATGGACGATGACCACTATATGGCTACTGGTTGACGACTGTGGCACTTTAGGACTTCGTTAAATGTAGTTGGCCAACATGCGCCCAACAGTAACTTTATTGCTCTGTAATTTATCTTTCCCTTACAGTTTTAAGTAGAAATCCACTTTAGTAGGCAAAGTTATCTCTTTATTTTTATTGCACACCTTTTGAGTATTTTTGTGTTAGGTTTTTTAAAATCTAACCATTTTATTTCAACATCTGTTGACACCATCAATGCATAGAAATCAAGAAATGTTTTTGTAGATCAAGTAGTACTGTGGTTTTAGACTTAGAAAACTGTCTATGAATAACGCCATTGAAAAGCACATATGGTATTGAGGATGGAGTGCCGAAGCATGGGTTAATAGTGCCACTCGGTGGTTCATAAATATATCTTTTCAGGAAGTCCTCATGCCTAACCTCAATTTACTAATCTCTGTGAATTGATCTGCCTTTGCTTTCATGTTTTATTGAAATATTTTTGTAGGCCTTGTTACATTTCCACCACTGTCTTATGAGAAGAATGTATTCTGTTTGAAAATGTACCAACAAGCACCATAACTAAAACAGCCTTGCTGCATTTTCAGACTCCAGATAAGACACGTTTTAATTAGTGTTTGTTTAGCACTCTGACCTTGGAGCTGCGGTTTCACCAGTAATTTAAAACTGCACTTTTATACGAATATCACCTAACCTAGACTACAATTTGTATTGTGGTTTTCCAAAGCAAAGGCAGAATATTTGGTATTAACATTATCTATTAACAAATAATCTTATTTTTAACTATTATTCAAACTTTTAAATAACCTTCAAGCTTATTATTTTATTATTAGTTTTTTTGTCATTTGTTTCACTCTATATTTAAAAGAGTAAAACTAAAACATTCACAAAGACAATAGAGGCAGAATAAGAAGTTGCAAAATAATAAAGGGTTGCGGAAAGTCAGCTGCAAAACACTAAAGGAGAAATTGATTGGTTGTAAATAAATTCAATCAGGTATTTCAGACATTAATTCATTTATTTGTTTATTTATTTTTCAATTCATCAGTGTGTTTAAAGATCGTTTGTTATGCTTTAGAAAAGGTCTCTGCTTCCTATCATTTGGACTGTGGAATTATTAATGAGTACAACCCTGTACAGAACAACAAGAGAAAACGATGAATTATAGTTTGAAAATATTTAATATTTTATACTGATTTGTTAAAACGGCTTCTTTAATGTCCTTTGCATTCACCCTTTGCATGAGTATAAACCATGCACTGGTACATGCCTGAGGTTGTCAAACTTAATCAACAGGAGATGTCTTGATTTTTCAAAGAGAGTTCTATTAAAGCACCCAACAACAAAAGTATGATCTGGAAACTGAACTGATATTAGTTTCATTTTAAGACGGTCTTGGGGAACATTTGTGTTTGTGGTTACAGTTCAGAGGCAGAATTTTGTTTCTCAAGTCCTCCCATTTCAACCAAATGTCTCAAGAAGTCTCCCTCTGGGCATTTTTATAGTTTTCTGTGAGTTTATGCACTCATATCATTATTATGACTCCCAAAGCCATTGAACTTTTAAAAATAAGATAATAGAGGATATTCTCCTCCTCCTCGTCATATTCAGCACAAAAGCCTCCTGCTTTTTTCCATTGCTCCTGTCTTCTGAATGTTCATTTCTGCGATTGATCATGCTTTTTTCTATCAAGATTTCTAACTTAATGTGAGTTGCTGGAAAGCAGAGGTCAGCCGCCGATTCTCTTCTATCTACAGGTAGACACTAATAAGGCACATGACATTTCCCCTGATACAATCACACCATCATTGTGTGGATCTGTAGCTCTGCTCTTAATATTCACTCACTTGAGTGTTTGTATTAGACTCTTATTAAAAAAACTTCAGCTGTTTGAGTTGAGCATTATTGCAGCCATATTTTTGTGTAAAGGAAAGCAATATCCTTCCTTAATATCCTAATATCTCTAGACTGAATATTCCATCTCTGGTTTCTTTGCAGAACGACACTTCAAATAAATCTTAAAGCCATTATTTCACAAGCTGCAAATTGCTCATCTTAAATCAGAACTGATAAATGCCGTTCTCTAAGGTCTAACGGGTGAAATCACCAAGAATGAATTGCACTCGCCGATTGTGACGTTTATTTGCACATGATGTCTACATTGTTTAGAAGAAAGTATGCATTTATGCAAATTATGGTTAATGGCGAAGCACCCTAAAATATGATGAAATATCTATATGTCTGTCTGTCTATTAGTCTGTTGTTCTTTCTGTCTGTCGTTTTAGTCTGTCTGTCGGTTTAGTTTTTGTCTGTTGTTCTATCTATCATTCAGTCGGTCTGTCTGTTGTTCTTTTTATTTATCTGTCTGTTGTTCTATCATCTGTTGTTGTTTCTTGTGTCCATTCTTCGATCTATCTATCTATCGTTCTATTGTTCTATCGTTCTATCTATCCTTCTATCGTTCTATCTATTGCTCTATCTATCGATCTATTGTTCTATTGCTCTCTCGATCTATTGTTCTATCTATCCTTCTATCGTTTTTTTCTGTCATTCTTTCTGTTTGTTGTTCTGTCTGTCATTCTAAATTTGATGAATAACTGATGCCATAATTGCTGATGCCATAAAAAAGTTTACTGCCCTTGAAATGTGGAACTTGCCTAATTGTAATCTGCCTAGCGTATGCTTTTATCCATTAAAACGGTTGTATTTCTGTAAAATGGCATTTCAGTATTTAAAACGAGTTAAGTCGGTTATTTAGCAAAATGCTCCTCTGACTCAGACAGGACAGATGAGGCTATAGGCTGAAGATCTCTTTGTAGTCCAGCAGTCCCCCAGATTGATTCTGCAGTGCTTCACAGGTGCAGACCCACAAGTCTGAGCCTCATTAACAGATAGCGGCTGAGATGGAAATATCAGCAGGGAAAAAGTGAATCAGTACTCAGCCTGGAGACTGTCACACAGAGCCTCGAGCCCTGCGGATGTTAGATGTGAAGGCCTGCATGGTCTTGCTGGGACATAGTGTAAGTTGTTACTTCCACTGACCACTACTTCTTTCCGCAGGATGAAATGGCAAAGTAGGACAGAAAAGCTGATAAGACTTTGACACTTTAAAAGTTTCACAGAAGTACAATGAAACACCTCAGAGTTTGTTAGATGAGATTTCTGGTATTAGGTCAGATGCAGAGCTAACTCAAGGCACTGCATGTTTTTCATTACTAGTCTAGTAAAAGTACCTTCCTGAGCTCGTTGTGTCTTTTTATAGCACATCTGTTGCTCAAAGAAAGCAACTGAAATAGCAATACCGAGCAGAGGATATCAGAATTGTCATTTTTTGGTTGAATTATCCTTTTAATTAATCACATTTCTGGTCTTATTGAATATGTTAAGATCTAATTACTTGATGAACTGTTAACAGTGAAAAAAAAATGTTAATGTGATATTTTCTTTATATATTATCAAGGGTCAATGTAGACTTATTAGTTGATCTTAAAGGATCTTCATTCATTTCAGCATTTCCAGACAGAAACTATCTATCTATTCTAACTATCTATCTGTATTTCTATTGTATAATATATTAATAAATGACTAGTCTGTTATTATTTACTTACCTTCATGTCATTTCAAACCTGTATGACATATGTGACCATGGACCACAAAACCAGTCTTAAGTCGCTGGGGTATATTTGTAGCAATAGCCAAAAATACATTGTATGGGTCAAAATGATAGATTTTTCTTTTATGCCAAAAATCATTAGGATATTAAGTAAAGATCATGTTCCAGGAAGATATTTTGTAAATTCCCTACCGGAAATATATAAAAACTTAATTTTTGATTAGTAATATGCATTGCTAAGACTTCATTTGGATAATTTTAAAGGCAATTTTCTCAATATTTAGATTTTTTTGCACCCTCAGATTCCAGATTTTCAAATAGTTGTATCTCGACCAAATACTGTCCTGTCATAACAAACCATACATCAATGGAAAGCTTATTTATTCAGTTTTCAGATGATGTATAAATCTCAATTTTGAAAAATTGACACTTAAGACTGGTTTTGTGTTCAAGGGTCACATTTGTGGATGTTGGGGACCAATCTTTCATTTTATTCACTTAAAAACAAACCCTGAGATGTTTTTCAAAATCTAATTTTTTTTGGTCTCTAAAGAAGATAGAAAGTCATACCATTTTGGAACAACATGAGACTGAATAGATGATGACAGAATTGTAATTTTTTGGGTGAATTATTCTTTCAATCAATCACATTTCTGGTCTTATTGTAACTGATTCATCAATTCATCATTAAAAATGTCTCTATAATCTGTAATCAAAATGTAAAACACTTTCTCTGAAACAGTGTCCCTTTTCCACCGATGTCACATGGGTGTCACTATTAACCAATAGCCAAACCGCTATTTAGGCATTGTTTTAGTAAACTCATTCGATTAACTCCCACTCTGAATATCCTGATTCACTTTTATCCTATACATAAATTGGGTTGTGAATCAGTAATTGAAGTTGACTTAAAATTGAAGATTGGACGAACACTAAATGGATGGCCTTGAACGATGATGCATCAGCAAATATGCACAGCTCTATTTGGAGTGTCTCTAGATAATTCTCTCAGAGCATTATCCCAATATTAAAATGATAAAAAATATTGTCCTTCAGTTCAAATTGACTATTTCATCTATTCATTTAATTGTTGTTCTTAAGACTCAGATCATGCCTCTGCTGACTCCCCCACAATATGAAGGAAATCTAATCATAGGAGCTCACTGCTTCCGTTTATTAGGCCTGGAGGGGACCCGCTTCTTTGCATATTCATAATGCTGTTCACCATTGTTGTGAGGACTTAAGAGATGAGCTACAGCATATAGCACTGGGAGTACAGCCCTGTTCAACAACCAGCATTCAGAGAAACTGCTAATTAACCACAGATTCAGTTCAAGCACAAGTCATCTGAGCTGAAAACCTCTTACGATGAGATATAATTAAAGCGTGAACTATTGACACTGAGGAAAGTTAGCATTTTGGTGAAAAAAAAATGTCATGCTTTCTTGATTATTTATCAAGGGTCAGTCTTGACTCATTGGTTGATCTTAATGGATCTTTATTCATTTCAATATTTCAACTTTTAAAGGATATCTGACAGCAACTTTCAAAAGAGCCTTGAAACTAATGATGCTTTTTACTTTGTTGGATTTGTCTTTAATCAGCCGAGATGTGCTTGACCATTATGTCAAACTTTTAGTCATTAGTGTTTGTGATGACTGATTTATAAGAGAGTGGACTAAATTAACTGGAAGTCTTCCATGAAAGCTGTCAATGGAGGTGATGTTTTAGTTTAGAGAACTATTCAAATAGATGAGTACTACATCTTTTCATGTTTTCCACGAATAACAAAAATGCAACCCCACTGTCTAATTTTCCATCCACCTTGCAATTTGGA